GGGGAGGCAGGGATAAAACTTGACTCTTATATAAAAGACTAGAACCCATTGACTCTAAATCTTGGATTCATCACTGCCCATAAAAGTAACACCCACTGACTTTCCCGTTGTAACACAATACAGTTAAACCTATCTATAACAACCTAATTTGTTTAGATATTTTTTGGCTGCTATAGTGAAATGTCGTTATAGAGGATATATATTATAACATAACATAAAAATCGGTTCCGAAAAAAACTTGACTTTTATGGTGAATGACTGTTATATAAAGAGGTTAAAGAGAGATTAGACTGTATTTGATTACCATATCTTGAGAAAACTCTAATAATCCCCTGATTGAACTCTAGTAAGTGCTAAACCACAAAGCAGCTATATATTCGGTAAGAGTTGTTTAGGTTTACAGACAATTTCCATAGTAATAAAAGAAGATTTTCATAGTACGGAAGTTGTGATCTATATAAAATTATTGTAGCTGCTGAAACTACATCCAAATACATTCTTACACTACATTAAGCTTATTGTCTTGCATATTCTGCAGGACGGCGAGAGAAAAACAGGCAAGATATAATACAACAATGGAAAATAGCCAACAAGCGATGAATAGAGATAATCCGGCTAAATCATCCACTAACATTTTCAGCAGAAATGTCATTCTCTTCATCTCTTCCTTGGCGTATTCTTGCAATTTCTGCGTGTGCTCGCTCCACAATCTGCCTCTTTTGCATTTCCAAGTCTCTGTGAAAGTCCATCCTCATTTTCTCCAGTTCCAGCATTTGCTGTCTCTTGCTATTCTCAATCTTCACATATATCTCACTAAATTTATGGATGGAATCTGCTATTAGTTTGAAAGAAGCTCCATTCCCTCTTGATTGTCCATTTCTTGATCTTTTTGGTGGAAGATCCTCAGAATCATCATCGTCACCATCAGCAGATCCCGAGTTATTAGGACTGTCCCTCATCTCATCCAAACCATTGGCACGATTCAAAGAAACTTTGGAGCTCATGAAAACATACTCACCGGAGTCCACTCCACATGAAACACCCGCTAGCTGTGGAGTTGACGTTAGTAACATGTCCATCTTTTTGAAGTACACCCACTTACTGGTGTTACATCCATTCTCCGCAAACTTCATCTTCTCCTTTTTGTATTTCTTTTTTAGAGTATCCAAACGGTTACGACATTGGGTGTCTGTCCTCTCAAGTTTTGACCCCTGTGACACTTTTTCTGCAACTTCTTGCCATTCATCTGATCGAAGACTCTTCCTCCCATGTCGAACAAACCTATCCCCCCACGCTTCCAGCAAAATAAACGTCTCGTGTTCAGACCAATCAGAAAGAGGATTCCTCCCACCAAATGAAGGTTTCGGAGCGGTTGGAGCTGCAGTAGATGGTGGTGGTACTCGAGGTGCAAACTCGTAACTTGATAACAAGCTCTTTAACTTCCTCTTCTTTTGATGCCTTTGTGAATCACCATAATCATCGTCATCATCATCCTCAAACACATCTTTCCCTATCCGCTGAACACCATTTTCGTCGTCATCATCATCTTCTTCTTCTTCGTCATCAACATCTTCATCATTATCCGCCTCCTCAACATACTGATCATCGACATGCCTTGAATAAGACGTGTCGCGGACAGGAAGCTTCTGGCGATTGGATGACCCATAACCCTGATTCATGCCATAAGGGCTGGGAGGATATCTCCCATTATCCTCATTGTCATCCATTCAAGCTCGAAAAACCAAGCGACTACTAATATCGCACACTAATATCCACCCTCTTATTAGAGAGAGTCCAACATAAAATTCCAAATTCTAAGCACAATGTTTCCTTTATCAAAATTAACCCATTTTAACTCCAAATCAACATTTCATTCCTAACAACTAGATGATAAGTTAATCCCACATCACATCACAAAAACCTCATTCGAAAAAATAATCTCAAATACAGGCAAAACAAATTACTCAAAATCATGAAAATATGCCTACAACAACCCAAAATCAATACAAGAACTTCTACTTTCAAGGGATTAAATACAATAAAAAGGAAAACCCTTTAATCCCTTCACCTCAAAAAGGGGAACTTTGTGCTTGAATTGCCTTAAAGCTGGAAACTTAATCAAAACCCTTAAAATCCCAATATCCATTGAAAAAACAAGAACAACTCATTTTCAGCGGATTAAGTTTCAATTAAGAAATAGCCTTTAACTCATTTACTTCAAAAAGGCCTTAGAGTTGGGAACTTTGAGCAAAATCAATCACCTTAATAACAACCAAAATCAATCTAAAAAAAACAAGAACATCTCATTTTCAGCTTATTAAGTTCCAATAAAACATACCCTTTAACTCACTTACCTCAAAAAAGGGAATTTTGTGCTAGAATTGCCTTAGTTTGAAACTTTGAGCAAAATCAAACACCTAGCACCAACAAGATACAAGAAAATCAGACAAAATTTTAAGAATCTTGGAGAAATCTGAGGCTGTAAAAGGATTCAAAGGTTGTATCAAAATTGAAAAGTACTTATTGAGTAATTTTCAAGATTTCTAGGGTTCATATTTTGTGGCAGTAAATATGAAAAAGTAGAGAAAGTTTATCCCCATCTGATCTGAGGACACAAATATCAGCTGGGAGTGGAACAACCAAAGTAGCTAAAGTGCGCCGAGCGTGAACTTTTTTCCCGGCTGCATCTCACCTGCCTTTGGTTGGGGTCCAAAGTGGGGTGTTTAACTGTTATGGCAGAGGTAAGACAACACGTGCTCTTGGCATTATTATGGTTGGGTTTTTTTTATTTTACAAAATTTGTTTTTAGTTTTTCAATTAACTGGTAAAAGATGTAAAAAAAAGAGAGGACAAAATAAAAGAAGAAACTTCTAATAATCCAACCACAGTGGGAGTCGAATCCACGACCTTTTGATCCGAAGTCAAACGCGCTAATCCACTGCGCTATGCAGTCCTGAATGACCAAATTGTTCTCAAATACTTATATTTCCTATACTGTAAAACTCTATTTTTCACTTGATTATATCAGAAGGAAAACAATCTCATTAAAAACTCATCTAAACAACACAAAACTGAATAAGATTAATTTGAATATGTAAACGATCTTTGATACTAATAAGATAAACGATACATTTGCTTCACATAGTAAACCTTGAGTTAGTGGTGGAGCGCCGGAGTACTTTCAAGGGGATGTAAAAAATATATTACTATAACATTACTCTTAGAATTTGAACATGTGACCTACAAGAGCGGACAAACAAGTTATGTGGCCTAAAGTCAAACTTTACGAAAGATCTTAATTTTTTTTTAAAGTTTATTTATTTATTATCTATTTTTCTAGCGTTCCTTAGATACAAAATTATTAATAATTTTCTTATAATCGATAACTCCTAATAAGTCTTTCTTAATTGACAATATAGCTAATCCATTTAACCTTTTTAGCGACATTGTTCATCTTAGGTAAGATTTTATCAATTTTAATTTTGAAATTTTTTTTTCGCTGAAGCGACGGTAACAAAAGTTATTAACATTATTCCATAAGTAATATAGGCATTGAAAAAGAATCAAATCTTTTTATTTGACCGGGTGTATCAATTAAACTGTTATCTTCTAATTGTACTATTTTTCTTAATATTTTTAATTTCGAAAATAAATTTAAACCATCAATATCAAATTGATTATTATGCTTTAAGGAACATTCAAGATTAAGGCAATATTTTTTAAAATTTTCATCATCTAGTGATCTTAGTTTTTACCGATAAATAGAAAACCAAAAATATTTTCATATGCTTCGAATTATTCAAATCTATTTTTAAGTGAAAAATAGCCTTGTCTTCTATGTACAAAGTAATCAACTCCAAAGGACTTTTCGAAAGATTTTGAGATTTTGTTATTAACATTGTCATCAAATTATTATTTCCTATATATCTTACGTTTCTTACGAAAATCGGATTCGATATTCATTTCAAGTGCAAATTTCGTGGCAGAAATCATAGCAGTTGTAAATCCTTCTTCTCTATACTCGTTATAGAAAGAATTGAAAATCAAACTTTTTCACTTCTACAAACCTTTTTTTAAACTTATAGCCTACTAGGTGTAACAAAAAATGGGGACCCCACAAATGTGAAGCCTAAAGCAATTGCTTTACTTGCTTTATAGACGGGCCACCCTGGTGACCTAAAGATTAAAGCAATTTTTAACCCTTTTACTAAACATTTTATTATATATTTATATAACTTTGGAAAATCTTTTTTGCTAGTGTATATTAAAACTGCAAATTGTATTTTGGAGTAAGTCGCCATATGTTACGCTCTAGGTAAGTCCTTCAGATAGAGTTCAGAACCAAAGTGTGATCTTTTTGGACTCAAACGATGAAAATAGGTAAAAAAAATAATAATAACTGACTATCATTTATATATAGTGCAGTAAATAATAGTCTGTTAAGGTATAGCGCATGTAATATATGCGCTATACTCATATTTACGGTTACGATAATTGACTGCGCATCAATTATATGCGCTATCCATCCTTCACTTCTCTCCTTATTTTTCTTGTCTCTTGCATTATACAGAAGTAATATTTGTTTCACTAATAAACAATCGTAAAATCTTAAAGCAAAATTTATCTTTTTGTTCAAATAACAAGAAGAGGATCACTGAAATTGGGGTGTCAGATGAGGGGTGGGGTAATGAGGAAGTAGTAGCTTCAGATACTTTTACTATTACACATCATTTAATGCTTATCTCTTCCCAACATCAGATCGATCCCACCCAATCACCAGACGCTGCACCCGGTATTTTTCTATCGACGATTACGTCCAAAGAATTGGCGGAATTCAAGGCCAAGTTCAATCTTCCAAATCACGTCGAATTTATCCCGACAGAAGGAGAGTGGTGCAGGTTCATAACCTTGGATACTGTGCTCTATACGCCTACCTTTTCTTTATCGGTTATGCTTTTCCCTTCTTCCGTTGGTGGAAGAATTTTATCATCACTACGACATCTGCCCTTCTCAGCTTGTTCCATACGTCTACAAGATTATTAGAATGCTGACCAAATTTATCGAGCTGGTCGGGGTCGAACTGACGCTGCAGAATTTGGTGCGTCTATTTGCCCCTAGCTTCTATAGGGGAACGATGCTGAACCTTCTCCACCGTGGAGGAAAATTCTTGATGGTGAAGACGGACGATAAGGCTAGTCATCAACTCTGGCTCAATTTCTTCTATGTCAGGACTGAGGACGTTGTTGTTAACGTCGATGTCTTTCCTGAGGCTTGGAACTACACACGTAAGTGCCCAGTTTTTATTTGCATTCTTTTACTTTCTCGGAATTAGTTGAAGGATTTTCCTTTCCTTGCAGCCAACAACCAGCCTCCCATTAGTCACGCTCATTTCCGATTGGAAATCCTCCCCCATGTCGTAGGAATCCGCGACTAGACGAGCTTCTTCAAGAAGTTCAAACCGGCTCTTCCTTCGACAAGTAACTTCTTCTTTTTGGCCGTGGCCGTTTCACTTTCCGTTGTATGTCGATTCATTCTATTAACTTCAATGGTTGTCTCTTTTTCAGACAAATGGTCTTCTCAGAGGAGCCAGGCACCGATGCCCTCTTTTTGGAGGAAGACTGTTGCACCTTCGGCTTCTTCCCCTGTTGCGACTACTGCACCTTCCGTACCAGCCCCTACCTTGACTATCGCATTACAAGAGCATGCCTCCATTCCGTCCGATGCTTCTGCTCCTCAACACTTTTCACTGGTTGATGAGGATGCCGATATCTCCCTTGAATATGATGGTCTAATGCCCCTTAAGAGGAGAACCATATACGCGGGAGAAGAAAGTCCAATAGCCGTCGACTTAGAGGAGGGCGACTTCACTCTTCGAGAGACGACTGTAGTACATGTTGGAGAGAGCACTGGGATAGACTCCGAGTGCCTGCACTTGGAGGAGATGAATATAAATGCACCGGTGCGTCTTGCGGGGGAGACAATCGAATGAGGGATGCCTGACGATGGCCTCGCACTTTCGAGTTACGAGAAGCCTTCGTCCTCTAGGGTTGCAGTAGATGTCCTCTCGTCTGCTGGTGATAGAGGGAAGACCGTTGCTATAACTTTACCCTTTTTGTTGACATAACGCAAAACAAGTGTCATTTGTTCTTTATGAAAGACATCCTTAGACCCATCAACCAATATCCCAAGCCATTTGTGTCCTTTTTAGTTTGAGTCAAGTATTTGTTATTATTATTTTAATTAAACAAATAGAGTTAAGTTAAAGGCTAAACAAGGGAAAGTGCATAAAACTTTGTGCCAAAAAATATGGGAAAAAGTAAAGTATGCTAATGGGATCCGATCTTGCATTGTGGGTTACGGGAAAAATAATTTGGGATCCACACCTTACCATTGAACCAGCAAAACATTTTATAACTGGGTTCTCATATAAATATTGTTATACATTTAATAGATTTCTTAATATAAATAGAGGGTCTAGGCAAAAGCTACTGAGTTCCCGAGAACCGTACCTATCACTGTAGATCCGCCCCTGATGGCGACTAAAGTTAATACAAAATATAAATAGTTATGCAGGGAAAAAATATATTTTGGGTAGATCGCCAATAAATAATTACATTAATGGTAACCTATTCGACCTTTATTGTGACTATAGTTGCTAGAAAATATCATCACTTATGCGACTAGAGTCGGCATAAAGTTAAGACAAATGTGGCCTAGAGAGTTGCTT